TGTCTCTCCCAGCTGTTGTGTGACTCTGGACCCTTTGTCTCTCCCAGGCTGGCATGTGTTGTGTAACTCTGGGGGAAATATAACTTTTTCTAGAGTTGGGAGATTTGAGGACTGTGGATTAACATTTCACCTCACAGTTTTATTTTTGTGGAAGCATAATTATTGCTAAAGGAATTGAATTTACCACTAAACTTAAATGTTTTTTTTAACCTTATATGTTTGCTTTTATGTGACTTTGCCTCCATGGAAGAATTCCCAGTTTTCTTGAGCTGAACATGATGGATGGAAGGGTTGGGTGTGACAGGAGCGCAGGAATGGGATTACAGGATCATTTTAGGATACCCCGAGTCCTCTGTGCTGATAGTTTCTGATGCCACAGGCACCAACCCCTAGCCTTCATCTACATGATCTCTCATGGGTCCTCGTTATCAAGAGAATGTCAATATATGACCTGTAACTACAGAAGGAATACCCATGGTGTGACGAGGATACTAAATGCCTGTCGGTTTAACTGTGATTTAAGCACACATTTGTTTGTTATGTCTACAAGTGGCTGGTGTTACTGTGTCAAAAGCACAGAAGAGGATGTTTACGTGTATTCTGGAGCAAGTATTTGTGAACAAATACAAAATTCATGATGGCAAATAAGTTGCATGTCCAGTTCACCTTTTACATTTACTTCTTTCACTGAAGTATTAGAGCAATAGGGAAAAATCTGTCACCAGATTTAAGATTTCTGTTCTTAAAGTGGATGTTTTCTCTTTGGTTACATCTTGGCCATTGAAGTTGAAGTGGCATTCCATTTTTGTCTTCAATATCATACATGCTTCTGAACACTTTGGAGTGAGTTAAGAATGTCAAGTCTGGGCTCGGAAGATGTCCTTACACAGTATGTTAGCAGGTGGGAGAGTGTCTGGAGATGTGCCCCACCGGGTTTGCACTCAGCCTAGAGGGGCATCAGCAGGGAAGGCATGTGTGTTCCCATCCCATTCATGTCCTAAGTGTGTGCTTCCAACAGGCCTTTGAGGAATTGGGTATCTCTCCATTTCTTTATCTGTGAAGGGTAATTAGTCATACCACCAGTCATGATGCCTGTCAATATTTCTTCGAAATAATAAAGTTCCTTGGTATTTTTTTAAACAGTAAGTATTTTTGTAGCACCACACTAGATGTTTACTGAGAGTTCTTTAGAGTCTTGGGCTACATAGTCGCAGGCGTGAGCTACCAAAAGACTCAAATGTGGATAGATTAACCGTTGAATAGGTGATGTGAACTAATAGTGCGTTCTCCCTGCTCTGTCCTGCAGGATGTGGACAAATGGTCCTTCGATGTGTTTTCCCTCAACGAGGCCAGTGGAGATCACGCACTGAAATTCATTTTCTATGAATTACTCACACGCTATGACCTGATCAGCCGTTTTAAGGTCAGCACCTCATTAAAAAGATACACTGCGTACATTTATCTATCTTTCTGTGACTTCTATGCCAAGACCAAGGGGATCCTTCTAAGTACATAGGGCACTGCTGTGGGCAACTGTGGACATCATCCCAGTGGGCCTGCCATAGGTGCTGCCCCCAGTGGACATTTCATCTCACTGCATCCTGAGTGTGTGCACTATGGACCACTCTTGGCTGGGATGTAGTATTGGAGACAGAGCGAGCTCAGCAGCTTCCATAAACTTTTCTCACAACATGCCACATTCAGACAAAACTCCCACTCCTCCATGACAGATCATTGGTGTTTCACAGCCGCCCTGCTTCAGATTAATTCTTTGCCTTAAACAAAGAGAATGGATGGATCATCTCCAGGGTCAGCCTCTCAGTCACCACACTGCACAGCCTTTTCAAGTCAGGCAGGTTCTCAAGGGAACCTCTGTCCAGTTGATCTCCCAGACTTCAAGCATCAGATGGATGGGATGTGTCTCTAGAAAATGCAGGTTGTTTTACACAAAAATATTTATGTCTCCAGATAGAGTAAGTCTTTATCACGTTCGTAAGGGCTATATTGAAGCTCATGCTTTCTATTTAAGAAAAATGAACATATACTATGCAGTATATTTAATATGATAAAACATAAAGGACACACAAAAAATTTAGGTTATACAATGATTTTGAGACAGATGTAAGTTGCCACTGGTGTGACTTCCTCAAAGTCACACTCTTAGAAAGAGGTCACTATATGTATTAGAAATATGGTGAAGCGCAGTGTGGTAGTGTGTTTGGGAAGGGAACAGGCTATGTCTTTTTATCACCCAATAGTCTATTATTGGTGGTTTGCAGTTTGGAAAGCCTTCTTTTGCAAGTGAAATGTTACAAATAGTTAAAAAAAATTCATAAACTATAGTAATTCACAGTGCTATTTATAAGTTTCTCAACATGGTTTATGATATTGGTCATGCATAGCGTCTCTTTTGTCTTGGAATTGGAGGAAAAGACTAAAAACAGATAAAGTTCAAAGAAATACAGAGCTTTAGTAATCACTGATAACGAATGGGGTTGCCTATGTGTACATCAAAAACCACTGGTTTGCATTTTAAACAAAATATCTTTGAGATGAATCTGTATAGTTTGGTTGCCTGAACTGGGAACAAAACCAGTTTGTGAGACTGACTGTTCTTCAACCAGGGACCTGGTCTTAGACTTTCAAAGCATCTGACAGTTTCACAGGGAATTTTATTAACTGCTAAACATTTTTGCTCCTCATGTGATCTACAAAAGCCCCCAAATGAGCAAAGTGGGGACCTTAATATTTCTCTTAAGGTAAGTCTGCCCTTTAGTGAGTGAAGCTTTCTCTTCTCTTTCAGATCCCCATTTCTGCACTTGTCTCATTTGTGGAGGCCCTCGAAGTAGGGTACAGCAAGCACAAAAATCCTTACCACAACCTGATGCATGCCGCTGATGTCACGCAGACTGTGCATTACCTTCTCTATAAGACAGGAGTAGCAGTAAGTATAGGCGGGGACACACATCTGTGTTGGAGGGCGTCCCGGAGGTGATGAGGATAAGCCCAGGATGAATGAATGCTTTGTGAATACCCTATTTCCCAGGACCACTGTGGAGAGCTTTGGGGTATTCTGATGTGTTCTCATAATCATGATGAAAAGTCTTGGGGTTCTCTGAGTGCTCCCTTGATCTTTATGGAGAGTGCTCTGAAGTGTCCCCCTGTTCACTGTGGAGAGCCTTGGGGTTCTCTTAAATGTTCTTCTTGGGCCCAGTGAAATAGAAAATGACCAATTAAGGAATAATTACAAGAGCTAAACATATATTTCCACATGTAGAATGAAGATTTTTGACCCTTTGCAATAGTCAATTAAAAATAGTATTCACATATTCTGAAGTTATAGTCAGTAGATTCATCAACCATTGCTCCAACTCATGTTTGGCTTAACCTGCTTGGTCTTTTTCAGAAGCACTCTGGTTATTCACATGTTATGTATTTTTTAAAGCTAAAGGTTTTTAGTCATTTGAAATATTATTATAGTTCTGTTTGTCAGCTCTTTAGATGGTTTTTGATGTCTTTAATCCATTTGATGTACTAGCTTGTTCGAGTTGATTGTGCCTTTGACTTCTTACATTTTTATTATTTGTTTGTTTGTTTATAGTGCATGGGTGGGGGATTCTTGTACTACAACACACATATAGATGTCAGAGGACAATTTGTAGCAGTCAGTTCTCTCCTCCTACCTTGCGGAGGCCAGGGATTGAACTCAGATTTTCTGGCTTGTCATGAAGCACCTTGGTCCACCCACACCCAACCAGCACCTTTGTCTTCTTTACCTCCATAAGCCATCAGTTTTTAATATGCTTAGATGTTGGTGGCAAAAGAAAACAAATGAACAAACAAATAAAATAGCTTTAACTGAGATTGCCTTAAGAAGACTTATAGGAATTTGTTTTCCACTTCTATTTGAACTTATTGGAAACTGAATTTATCCCCATGCCGTATATTTAGTTTCCACAGTATGCTCTGGGGTATCCTTTTCTTCTGCGAAGTCCCCTCCTATGGCTTAGGAACAGGTTGTCCCTTCTCAGTGAGTATCATCTTGGTGTGGCATGGGTTAACTGAACCATGAACACTGTATTTTTGGCTCACATTTTTTGATCTGAATATATTCAGCTACAAGGGAATCTGCATCTACACCTGCTCTCTGCACATTCAACAAAAATTGAGTGCTGTTTTTGTGTCAATGACCTTAAATCCAGCCCCACTGTTTGAACTGAGCACAGCTTCTGACCCCACCAGTATGGGATTCTGGGACTTCTCTGCAGACTGACACTGAGTATTTTTCTACAAATCTCAGGGAATAAGATATGCTATTTTAAAAGTTTAAAATACTGAGAAAGTTTGGAAATATTAAAGTCAGTCCTTAGAAAAACTTAAGCAAACCAGTCATGGGAATGGCACACACAGCTCCTTTAGAATGGCATCTTGAAAATGCGGATAGCATTTTTGATATGCACGCACTTGATGGACTGGGAAGATTCGTGTGCATTTTAAAAGCGAAAACAAAGATTTGAATTTCATAATTTGTATGATTTTCTGGTTTAAGAGAGTGGCAATCTGTTTTTACAGGTCTCTCTATGCCACTCATAGGAAGAACTAAGATTTAAATTGCAGCAAATCAACCACAAACCCAGCACATACCTGTCTTTCCTGTTGATTGGCTCAGTAGAGTAGCTCAGTGCATTCAACTTAGAACACAGTTGGCTTGTGTATCAGATGGCTTGATATACGCCATCTAAATCCCTGCTTAGTTACTAACCGATATGGTAACCTGTGATGAAGTACTTCTCTGTGCCCAGATTTCCTCTCATCTGCAATGTGAGAAAGATTTTACCTTGAAGATGGCCAGGAGTAAAATTTCAAAAATATTGACATTATCCTTCTTTCAACTTAGGAAGTATTACTACTGGATTATTGTAGAATTTTCCCCAAACTCATCATCATGTTTTAGTTTTGATTAAAAGGCTCATTTTGGAAAAAAAGAATAATATTTAAGAAGCCATCTCAAAATTATAGAAATGTTATAGAGGGGACTCATTTTATAAGACAAAGAGTTTCTACCAAAACTCAGACCAAAAGCCGTATTAAGCGATAATCCCATGAAAACATGGAATAAAACATAATTATCCACACCAAAAGAGCCCCATGAAGACCTGGAATGATGCTGAGGTGGTTGCATGAATACAAACCTGTGAAGACACGGTTGGTGAAGAAGCATCCACACTGAGGCCCAGGAAGATGTGGACTGTTGCAGGCATGTCTAGTGAAGATAGACTCATGAACACACAGACTGACACACTAAGACAACACTAAACATTTTCCTACAGAGCCCATGGATACAATATGCTATTTTAAAAGGATAAAATGCTGAGAAAATTTGCAAGAGCTGTTTGTGTACCAGAAATTAATAAATATGATGTAAAAAGTACATTCTCAGCAGTTTAATAAATGTATGATTATCTGTAAAGAACTTCAACACCGAAAAAAGGAAAACTATAAAACTCAAAGAACTCAAAACTAATGATTAAATGAGTAGATATGTGTGTTGTGCTTTAAATGGGAAACTGTTCTGTTGTTTGAATGGCAATTTTTATCAAAATAATAAATACTAATTCAATTTTCAAAAAATTAATGTATAACCTGATAACTCTGAAATCCATACAAAATGTGTATGTTTCTGTTAGAACAGGTAGTTTTGAAAAGGAATAGTATATAACAAGAAGGTAGTTTTTATCTTCCTAACACTAAAACATCGACAAACACATAATACAGAATGGGTGATTTTTAATGATAAAAATGACAAATACATCGATGGAATTTCAGTTTCAAACCATACACATTCAAAGATTTATGGATCACTTGCTATGAGCTGGGAACTCTGTTAAGCTACTACAGTGATGGGATTGGGTGGCGAGGACTTTGAGAAGCAATGGGGTAATAGAGACAAAGCTCCCACATGGGATTGGTGTCTTTAAGAAGGAGACCCAGAATTCCCTTTTGCTTCCTTCCTGGCCCTTTGCTTTTCTACTAAGTGTACAGCTTTGCCCTTCCTCTATTTTTTAACTTTAATTTTTTTTGTTTATTTTACATACCAATCACAGTCCCCCCCCGCACCTCTCCCCACCCCACCCATGGGGAGTCAGCAAAGCCTGAAGCTGCCATTTGGTGTAGACTGAATAGAGAGCCCTTAGCTCCTCCTGCCTTCATCTCCCAGTTCTGAGTTTGCAGGAATGTTCAGCTATGTCCAGCTTCAATAGCACTTCCTTTGCCAAAAAGACATCCAAAACTTTTATTACATTGCATGCATGTGCATGTATACGTGTGTTAGGAATATCTATACTTCTTTACATTTCTAATGTGAATGAATGAATTCTTCTATCATGTGAACATAAGAATCCATCGTATATGCTTATCATTTGGAACTACTGACTAAAAGTTCTGAATTATAAATTTCTATACAAATCAAGTTAAACATATTTAATTCAAAGTTAAGCTTAAATATGCAGCCAGTCAAGCCAAAATCATACTTCAGTGAATCATACTTCAGTCTAAATATATATGTATATTTTCTCCATCTACAACAGATTGTCATCCTCCTACCATCTTGACAAATTTCCTATTTTTATTTGCAAACATTATTAACTGTCTACTGTACATATATGTATGTATGTCTTGCAGTACTGGGGATTGAGCCTAGGGCCTCCCACATCTCTGTTAAGAGTTCTTCAACAGAGCTCCTCCGACTCCATCTGACTTTTTAGACTTTTTTGTTTTGTTTTTATTGAGCTATATATTTTTCTTTACTGCCCTCCCTTCCTTCCCTTTCTCCTTCTGCCCTTTCCCATGGTCCCCATGCTCCCAATTTACTCAGCAGATCTTGCCTTTTCTATTTCCCATGTAGATTAGAACCATGTATGTCTCTTAGGGTCCTCTTTGTTGTCTAGGTTCTCTGGGATTATGAATTGTAGGCTGGTTTTTCTTCTTTCTATTTTTTCTTTCTTTCTTTTATTGCCTTTTTTTGACTTCTCTCTTTATATGATGGCTAATCTCAGGTACTTGTCTAGCAATTATCTTAGTTTAGGTTTTCATTTGCTGTGAAGAAACACCATGACCATAGCAACTCCTATAAAGGAAATCATTTAATTGGGGTGGTTTGCTTACAGTTTCAGTGGTTCAGTCCATTATCATTATGGCGGGGAACATGGAGGCCAGCAGGTAGGTGTGGTGCTGGAACTGAGATTGCTACATCTTACAAAAAGCAGGAAGTCAACTGAAACACTGAATGATATCCTGAGCACAGGAAACCTCAAAGCCAGCTCCCACAGTGACACATTTCCTCCCACAAGGCCATACTCACTTCAACAAAGCCATGCCTTCTAATAGGGACACTCCCTGTGAGATTATGAGGTCAATTACATTCAAATTACCACACTAATGGAAGCTAACACAAAGAATTACTACAAATTGTCTTCTTAAATGTCTATACAAATGTACTTTGGCTATTTGTACAAATGTGCAATAGATTGCAATTTTCTGTAAATCAGTGGTTTTCAGTCTGGGGAAACTGATACTACCCCTACAAAATGAGTTTTTACGGTATTTTGTTATGGTGACCGTAGCAAAATATTACAGTGACATAGCAAAGCTGACCCCAGATCTGATTTTTTTAATGTTTTCTAATATTCATTTTTTGAAATAAATTTATGCATATGAATGTTTGTGTGTCCATATACACACCTGTACATGCCTACTGCCCAGGAACTTTAGAAGAGGGCTTTGGATTCCTGGGAACCAGAGTAGCAAAGAACTGTGAACTGCCATGTGGGTGCTAAGACCTGAACCTGTCCCTCTACATAAGTATCAAGTATTCGTAAACAGTGAGCCAGTCTCCCTAGTTCCCCAGGTGTGACGCCAATGGCCATACATTTAGGTATTTGGCTATCATTCTGCAATATCCTTGGTGAAAAAGAACTCTTTGGACCTCAGAACCCTCAGGGGTGTATACTTGAACATAATAATGTAGAGCAAATTAAAGCAGAGGCAGACTAGTGCTCAGAGCTCATCTCGTCAATGTGTTTTTAGTCCCTATTATGCACAGTATCCTGTGCAATATAAACCTGAATCAAGCAGCTTCATCAACTCTAAAGAAACTCTCTGAAGCATTTATGCTAATGCAAGTTATCCTTGGAATCAACGGTATAGCAGTCAATGACATATTGTGCTCAGTTATTTGTAGCATGTGCATATAGGCACAGGTGTTTGTGTGGGGGGGGGCAGGTGCATGTATGTGTATGAGCATGTGAAGGACTGAAGACAACCTCAGATGTCCTTCATTGGGCCCCTCTACCTTGTCTTTGAAAGAGAATTTCTTAGTTGCCTAGAGCTTACCAATTAGGCTAAACTGGCTGGCCAGTGAACCCTTAGGACCTGCATGTTTCTATCTCCCGAGCCGTGGGATCACAGCCACATAAACGGAAACTGAGCATTTGTTTCCAGCTGCCCAGACCCAAATATTCACACAAAAATCTATATTAATTACAACACTATTTGGCCAATGGCTCAGGCATATTTCTAGCTAGTTCTTACATCTTAAATTAACCCATTTCTACTAATCTATATATCACCATGAGGCTGTGGCCTGCTGCTAAGGTTCTGGCATCTTTCTCCTTTGGCAGTTGCAGGGCATCTCCCTGACTCTGCCTTCTTTTCCTCCGTATCTTTGTTTGAACTTCTGCCCTACTATATTCTGCCCTACTATAGGTCAAAGAAGATTATTTATTAACCAATGGTAATAAAACATATTCACAGAACATAGAGGGGAATCCCACATCATTTCCCTTTTCTGTCTAAATTAAAAGAAACGTTTTTAACTTTAACAAAGTAAAATTACAAATAACAAAATAAAGATCAAGCAACAATTACAGTTATAATATTTGTCAATCTAAAGTTTTATATCTACTTTATCTTTTATTATAACTAAGGAAAACTCTATCTATCTTCAACTCCATCAAAGACCCCAGAAGGATATAATATTACCTAAGTAAATAGGATGTGCATTTTAAGCAACATCTAAAGTTCTAGAATTGACAGAGACATCTCACTACTTGGACAGGCCCTCAAAGCTCTTCTGTCACATTGGGACATCTGTTTTCAGCCTACAGGCCCATAGTACCCAGCAGGTTCTGGCGTCTTTCTCCTTCATCAGCTACAGACATCTCCCTGACCTTGCCTTCTTTCTCTCTGAATCTTTGGACTTCCTGCCTAGTTCTATTCTGCTCTGCCATAGGCCAAAGCGGCTTCTTTATTGACCAATGATAATAAAACATATTCACAGCATACAGAGGGAAATCCCACAATCACAGCCACCACACCTGACTTTTCACATGGGTGCTAGGAATGGAACTTGGGTCTTTATGTTTGTATGACACTTTATCTACTCATCTGTCTTCTCATGAGTCACCCCTTCTTTGTGTGTGTGCGTGTGTGTGTGCACGTGCGCACGCATATGATGTTCTTCAACCATCTTTTTGTGGTGATTTCTGAAGGCATCAGAACAGTATTGTAAAATAGAAACTGCTGTTCCCACAGCAACATCGCAGCTTACTTAGGGTGATGTATCCTGTAGCAGTGGAAAAGGGCCCACCCGTGTCCATTTCCTTCAGATTTCCTCTGTTGTATACGGTTGCCCTCACTCACCCACATACCTAAGCACACGGTTTGCCTTTCTGAGCCACAGGTGTCACATCCAAAATATTACCACATCCGAGTGTCAAAACCACTCTGTCGGCGAATGAAGCCGTGTCACACCAATTTGGAAGACGGGGAAATGTCACAGTCAGATAATCCTACAACAGAATGCCCGTGGAACTTAAGTTTCTGATCGCTTATCTTCTGACACAAAACCTTAGCACTCACAGTTATTAAGTGGGAAAATACAAATGAATTTGAGCCCCATTAAAATATGAATCTCAGTTTTCCTCAGAGTGGCTTCTTCTGCCTTCTCCATCTTTCCTTTACCAAGGATGCTCTCTGATACGACCCAGGAAGTGTTTGGCTCTTGACTCTGTGTTTGGTGGCCATATGTAATCCATTGTTCTCTTGGCTGTAACTTCTTTTTATCCATGTCTGCTGCACATTCAGTTATTTACCTGTACTGTAAGGACTTTTCCTCCCTGTCTCTACTCGAACAAAGATTCTTCCTGGAGTGCTGGGCTGGCTCTAGACTCTCGGGGATATAAACATCACTGCCCGTGGAGTCAGTTCACATTCCTCACTCACTCTGGCTTTCAATGCCAGATATTTGAGGTTCCTGTCTTCCCTGATTCCCACTGCAGTCCAGGAACTCATTCCATTGCTCAAGATGGACAGGCGCTTCTGAAAATGCCCTCCTCCACTCCATGCTCTCCTTGGCACCATCAGCAAGGCTTGTTTTTGTGAAACTGTTTCAAGCCCCTCCTGTTTCCTTCCCAGATATCATTTTCCCCCTTCTCCTCCCTAAGCCTGTATGCACACTGATCACCTCAAGGATTGGGTTTTACAATGGGCTTCAAAGGTACAGTTTAGTTTTTGCTGTATGCCTGTTGGATCCCTTGCTGTTTGGGTTTATTAGAAGCTAGGTGATAACTAAGAGTACCTGTTAGTGTGTTTGGGCAGGAAGGAAGTGTGCCTGATATTTGTAATGTGGGAACTATTCCTTTGCAGGCTTTCTGATGCTTAGACTCCTGATGTTTTGTGACTTGGATTTGTTTAGGCTCTTTGTTAACTCCTAGCTACCATCTTATTTTAAAACGTGATATTGACTTTGTATAGGACTAGAACAAGATTTGTATACAGGGAATTGTTCAAAAGCAGATTAGTAATAATATCATATTAAGAAAGAAAACACACCAATATGGCCACGTGCAGAGGTGCAAGCCTGTAATTCTAGCACTCAGGAGGCTAAGAAAAAGAGGATTTCTGTGAGATCGGGGTAAGACTGGACTACATACTGAGTTTTGAGCTAGCATGTTCTATAAGACCCTTTATCAAAAAAAGAGGAAGAATAGGTTTTATATATGTGAAGAATATCAAGAAGAGATGTCATAGAATTTTATACATACATAAGTTTATCCAAAATTAAATGAATATAGAATATAAACAAAGGAAATTTAATCTACAGATGATAGGTGAGAGTTCTGGAAAATAAATTATATGGCTTGTCATGTGAACAACTGTGTGACCTGGGTGGATCTTGAGTTTCCTCTGGTCTCATTTTCTCATTCTGTGGGGATAGCAGCTACACAGCTAGTTCCTTTATGAACACGTGAAAGGTATGTGGGTTTCTACATTTAAAAAGAGGCAGCCGAGTGGTGGTGATGCACAGCTTTAATCTTTAATTAGAAAGCAGAGGCAGGTAGATCTTTGTGAGGTCGAGGCCAGCCTGGTCTATAAGAGTTAGCTCTAAGACAGGCCCCAAAATTACAGAGAAACTCTGTCTCGAAAAACAAAACAAAAAAACAGACAAACAAGTGGTTAAGAGCACAAGCTGCTCTTCCAGAGGATCTAAGTTCAAATCCCAGCAATCGTGTGATGGCTCACAATCTCTGTTACTCCAGTTCCAGGGGATCTGGTGGCTTCTCCTTACTTCAGTGGGCAGTACATACATGTAGCACACAGACACACATGTAGGCAAGACACCTGTATGCTCAGTTAGAATTGGGTTTTCATAGTAGTGAAGGTGGGGGTGAAGGGCTTCTGAGGTTTAGGACCCACCCCTGATTGGCTGACTTTTGTCTAGGGGTGTCTTGGTGAGTGTGTTCTGGCAGGTGGTCCTATCTACAGCGGTTGAAATGTTAGGCATTTCCTTTAGATGGTCCGTTTTTGGGTGGTGCTCAGGTAATCTTGGGACTGATTCAGGGTAAACTACTGAGCCCCAGGCCTCTTGTTAAAATTTATCGATGGCTGAGTCCTACTCTGGCTGGTGATAATGGTTGGAAGTAAAGAACTTCCTTTGGGTGGCCTGCCCAGACTTAGCTTATCATGGCTGGCTCCCACACTTGATATTGTGTTAAAACTTTTAATTACTTCTTTATAAATGAGAGAGGGTATTGCATTGAATTTTTCCCAGGGGAGGGGGAGGGACAGGAAAAGGAAAGGAAAGAGAGGTAAGAATTTTATTTTGAAGTGAGAGGGCTATTTGATGAGGACATTTTCAGTTCTTCATGTTCACTGTTGCTGTCTTTCTGGAATGTCAGATCAGAGTAATAGTTCTTCCAACCTTGAGTGTTGTGGTCAAACTACAAGTTCACAGTCTCCTCAATGAGGAAAAGCCCCCATTACTTCTATGTATAAAAAAGCTTGTTTGACAACAGCCAGCAACTGTAGGGTAGAAGGTAGCAGGGTGAGTATGTTGTCAGCATGCTCCTCCCCGTGAGCAAGAGACAATTACCTGATTGCTGTGAATCTATCTTCCTTGCAGAACTGGCTGACAGAACTGGAGATCTTTGCCATAATCTTCTCGGCTGCCATCCACGACTATGAACACACTGGAACTACCAACAATTTCCACATTCAGACACGGTGAGGCAGTTGAAATGTTTGCAGGGCAGGCATGAGGAGGCAGGGATATAATTTTAGATGTCAGCGAGTTGTGCGTTTGTCACTTCACCTTTATGTGGTTGCTCTATTTTGAATTTTGAAAAGATTAACTTATAAACAAGAGAGGAGCCTGGGCGACTTCATTGAACACACGGCGTTTCAAAAACCACCTGCTGCTATTTCTCATATTTTATTCAGATCTAAAGTGGCTCTTCCTTTCTTCACTATTATAATGTTCACCTGTTATTTATGTATGGCCTGTGCTCCTCTACCTGTTTCTAACAGGTGTGGCACAGGCTGCATAGAGCCCCAGATGTCATGCACATGACATCATGAAATTCATACAACCATTGGAGGGCTTCTGTCAAACTAACAATTTGGATCCCGAGCATCCTGATAAATACAAGGTCACAATCACTTACAGAACTGATGTGGGCCGTGAGAGGTCATCAATGATGCAGACACAAAGCCAGGAAACAACAGAAACACCATGTGATTCCCACACTCATCTGATTGTCACTCCCTGGCCACTTCTCATGTCCCAGCTCAGAAGCCATGATTCACTCCTCCCACTCAGCCTCAACCTCTCATGCTAAGGATCTGATCCCAACAGCAAACCAAAGTTTACTTCCTCCTGGGCCACCAATGGGCTGCTTGCCAAAGAGCATCACATAGAGCTGTTGACTGTTGGCATCCCCTCCTACAAGGAGGGGCAGGGAGGGTCACTGGATCCCTCCCTGAGTATCCAACCGTTGCTCCCAGCCAGTTGTATGAATTCTGCCCTAGCTGCGTGGGTCTCAGGAAGGGGCGGTGTATATGGTCGTATTAGAAGACTATGGGAAAGAGGATCCATCTATGTAGTTAAGGGAAGCCTTCCCCATGCTGGGTGCCAACCTTCTAGTGTAGCTTCTTTGGGGTCAGCCACGTTCCTACTTGCAAACCCTTGTCCATCTGGACCGGAGCGGTCCAGACAGACCAGACTGTTCTAGACTGGACCAGACAGGACCGGACTGGTTTCAACCAGACCAGACTGGTTCATGACACACATGACAAATATGCACATGACACACACGACAAATATGGCACACAGATAAACGCATGACACACAAACATGTGACAAATATGGCACACATGACAGATATGACACACTTGACAAATATGGCATGCATGACGAATGTGGCGCGCGTGACAAGGGGATGAGGTGGGAACTGCTGGCTAACAGACAAGAATCTTGGTGTACCCTGAAAAGCTGCTTGTGTGTGTTGGGGTATGAGTATACTCTTATGTATTGGTGTGTATGGATCCACATGGAGGCACGAGGTGAACCTCAGATGCCATGCTTCTGGTACCGTATACATTGTTATTTGAAAGAGAATCTCTTATTGCCGTGAAGCTCAGTTCAGCTGGGGTGGCCGATCCTCCAGGTTCCTCCCACACAAACATCGTCCCTGGCTTTTGCTGTGTTTTGTGGTTTGGTTGGTTGGCTGACGTGGGAGTCCCCACTGTGTGCTGTGAACACCATTGGTGAATAAAGACACTGTCCTGGCCTGTGATAGGGTAGAATAGATCTAGGTGGGGAAAACTATAATGACTGCTGGGAAAAAAGGAGGCAGAGTCAGAGAAAAGCCATGGAGCTGCTGCCAGAAACGCTAAAACTTTGCTGGTAGGCCACGACCTTGTGGTGATGCACAGATTAATAGAAATTAAGGTGTAAGATTTAGCTAATGAGAAACTAGAACTAATGGGCCAAACAGTGATTTAACTGATACACTTTCCATGTGGTTATTTTGGGAGTTTGGGTGGCCAGGCAGTTGGGAAACAAACAAGAGGCTCATACAACAGTTGGCTTTGCTTTTTTATGACAGAATTTCTCTATGTAGCCCTGGACATCTTGAATCTCTCTTTGTAGATCAGGCTGACCTTGAACTCACAGAGATCCACCTGCCTCTGCCGAGGCAGAGATTAAAGACATGTGCCATCACTGTCTGACTCACACCTGGATTTTTAATGTGACTTTAGAGGATCAAATTCAGTTCGTTTTGTTTGCTGAGCACTTTTCTGAGCAGGCCTCTGCCCAGCCCCACAAAGGCTGTTCCCCGATCCCTGTGACTGCAAGGCCCAGAGCACCAGCCTCATTTGTCCGCAGAAGCTGCGGCTGCTGTTTGCTGCCATCATGGATACGTCCTCCCAGACCCTCCAGGCGGGCACACACGTCCCCTGGAGTGTGGATCAGGTGCTGGCAATGACACGTCCCTCTGGCCTCTCTTGGGTAGATGGCCTATGCTCTGGGTTCAGGGCACTGACCATTGGCCTGCACCGTCCAGTTCTCTGGACCTTGAAGTGGTCTCCGTTTACATGCTGCCTTGATAGCATGCACCTCAGCTTCTTATAAACATTTAGGGATCTTCTCGGTTATTTATTTTCATTTACCTTTAGGAAAAAATAAAATCGCTGTTCCATGTCCTTGCACACGCTAAGTGCATGTGAGCAGGAGCCCAGAGTTGCTGGTGCTGAAAATCGACATGCCATTTAGGCCGCAACCTGAAGGAGTTTGTGTGTCTCTCTGCACAGGTCGGATCCAGCTATCTTGTACAATGACAGATCTGTACTGGAGAACCACCACTTGAGTGCAGCCTACCGCCTTCTGCAGGATGACGAGGAGATGAATATTCTGGTCAACCTCTCAAAGGATGACTGGAGGTAATGTGAGAAGGCAGTTTGGAACACGCTGCTGCTGAGGAAGTAGCCACTGCGCAAACTCCACACCACTCTCTCACATAGGGTGCCCCAAAGCTTGCTCACTTGGCTTTTCACATCTCTATAAAGATCGGAGGCTTCATTTCTATCTTCATTTTGTTTGGTATTTTCTCATTTTCTTTGGACACAATTTTGTTAGAAAAAGGTAAGTGATATTCATTTTCCTTCCTGGTGTGATCTTTAGCTTCCTTTGTTCTTTCTGTCTCCAGCTGGGGCAGAGCTGCTGACACAGTCAGGGTCTGAACCTCTGGGGCCTGGATAAGGCAGACCAATCAGTTCACCCTGGACCATATCCATACACAAACATAGAAATCCTTGTGCATCTTTAACCCTGAATTGTTGGTGGTTATATGTAAAGTAACAGAAATAATAGAATTGGCTTAAACCATTTGAGTATGCCCTCTGATTAATACATTATAAAATTGAGTGACTCAAACTACATAGGTGAATTAATGTAAACTCTATAAATTAGTCCCTTGAAATTAGTTTAGTGAAGTCTGTGCACTCACCATCTGTATTAGAGTTTCTATTGCTTTGCAGAGACACCAGGACCACAGCAACCCTTACAAAGGAAAACATTTGATTGAGGTAGCAGATTGCAGTTTCTGAGGTTCAGTCCATTATCATTATGACAGAGAGCGTGGTGGAGTGCAGGTAGACATGGTGCTGGAGAGGGAGCTGAGAATTCTGCATCCTGCACAGGCAACAGGAAGTGGTCTCAGACAATGGGTGTGACTTGAACATATATGAGACCTGAAAGCCTACCCCCACAGTGATACATTTCCTCCAACAAGGCCGTATCTCCTAGTAGTGCTTTCTTTCAAACCACATGTTCCATTCCTTGGCCCCCAAAAGGGTTGAAGCCCTATAATAATGCAAAAATACTTTCAGTCCAACTCCAAAACTCCCCATAGTCTATAATTGCCTTAAACTTATTGAAAAATCTAAGGTTCCAAGTCTCTTCTGAGATTCATGAAATCTCTTAATTGTAACTCCCTGTAAAATCGAAATAATAAAACAGATCATATACTTCCAATATGTAATGACATCAGCTATTCATTACCATTCTAAAACGTAAGGAAGGAGCATAGTAAGGAAATACTGGACCAAAGCAAGACTGAAAACCAGCTGGGCAAACTCTAAACTCTGCACCTGCAAGTCTTAAGTCAAAACGCTCTTCAGATCTCTACCTCTTTTAGTTTTATGGGCTGCAACATATTTCTCTCTCCCGGGCTGGTTCTACTCGCGGTTAACAGCTTTCCTTAGCAGGTGTCCCAGGACATGGCATCACCAACATCTTAAGGTCTCCAAGGCAATCCAAACTTCAACATCACAGCTTCACACAATGGCCTTTCTCTTCAGGGTCACCCTGACACTCCTGGCCTCAGCGGCATTTCTTAATCATGGAGGCAAATTCCATGGCCCCTTTCTTCTGTCCTTGACTCTAAAACCAGAACCATGTGACTGAAGCTACTAAGTTCTACTGCTTGCTGGGACTGGAACACGGCCCCCCTAGTTCAATTATATCTTTATTTGCTCTCTGTTTTCCATGATTTCCTTCACTGCCTAAGCTTGGCTGTCCTGAACCTTTCTCTGTAGACCAGGCTGACCTCAAACTCAGAGATCCTCCAGCCTCTGCCTCTAGAGTGCGAGGACTAAGGGCATGTACCACCACACCTGACTCTAAACTTTTTTTTTAATTTCTTTTCATAAATTGGAAATTTAGTTGGGTGGGATCTTGCCATAAGGTCACTACTCCCTTTATTCCATTTCTTAATTGTATCTCCTTGAACTCAGAACATAGCTCCATTCTGTCTCCTGGTGCTCTTTTCTGCTTAAATTTTACTCTTTATAATATTCCCTGCTCAGTTTACTCCTTTTTTATAAATCTTCATTATTACCATTAATAACCACACAACACAGTCTATACTATGCTGTTTCCTCTGCCAATGGAATTAATCCAAAAATCCTCTCCTTCACCCCAGGCAGATTCTTCAGACAAGGGCAAAAGGCAGCCAATTCATCGAAATATCATAAGTACAATCTCTAGGCAACATACTAAAATTCTTCTCTGAAACCTCTTAAGCCAGCTCCTTCCTCACCAGTTCAAATCATTCTCAGCACTATTTTCTTCTGTGTTCCTACTAGTGTGGCCCAATAAGTAGTGTTTAAAGCATTCCACTGCTTTCCTAACCCAAAATACCAAAGTCCATATTACTTCATACTGAAATATCAGACCCATTACAACAATACCCAAGTCCCTGGTACCAACTTCTAACTTAGTTAATATTCACATTGCTGCAAAAAGACTGTGACCACAGCAACTTCTGTAAAGAAAAACATTTAGTGGGATGGCTTTAAGATCAGAGGTTTAGTTCATTATCAGCATGGTAGGACATGGCTCTATGCAGGCAAACATGTTGATGGAACTGAGAGTCTTACACCTTGACTTGCAGGCAGCAGGAAGTGGTCTGAGACACTGGATGTGTCTTGAGCACATATGAGACCTGAAAGCCCGCCTCCACAGTTGACACTTCCTCCAAAAAGACCAAACTTACTCCAACAAGGCCATATCTCCAAATATTGCCACTTCCTTTGAGGCCACTTCTTTCAAACCACCACACAACCTATATCTGTGCCTCTTGCCACTGTTATTTTCTTTGAGATTTACCTCACAGGAAATAAAATATTGAAGGGAACAAAAAAATCATATACCTGAGATATCAGAACATTTTGTTGGAAAATTTTATATAAATACAGTAACTATGGGAAGCTAGAATAAGAACAGCAAACTCAGTGTAGACAGAAAGGCAGAAATAACAATCTTACTTAAGAAACCCTTAAAATTACAGACAACAGAAAAAAGAATTAACGACATTAAAATCTACTTCTTTGAAAAGAACAACAAAATTGGTAAGTTTCTAACTTGGCTGAGCTAGAACATATATTGCCACTCTCTACATATTTCAAATATATAAGAAAATATTGCAATATTATTTCATCATGCTTGGCAACTTTGATTAAATAAATAAATACTTTGTAAAAATACAACTTTAAAATCTCACAAAAATAAAACAGATAATTTTAATATTCCTCTATCTATTAAAACAGTTGAGTTTGCCATCAAAAATTTTTATACCAAGAAACTTCCACTTGGATATTATCTCTAACAAAGTCTTTGAAACACCAGCAAGAGATCATCACAATGTTAGGCCAATTTTCTGTAAAATATTGAAAGAAGAAATCACTTTCTAATTTGCCTCATGAGACATAACTTTAAGCTCTATGCTTTTATACAACTATCACAAAAATAAATCTTAGGGTCTAGTAAACCCCATGAACATAAATGCATAAATCCTTGTTAAATATCAACATTTAAAATCTTATGCAAAAAGTTTGATTTGGATAGTGTGATTAATTTTGCATCAACTCAACTTGGCCACAGTGAGCCTTTGATTTTTTTTTTAAAACATTCAAGATCTTTCCATGAGTCTGTTTGTAGTTGAAGCCACTTAGAAAGGAGTAGACTCAGTAAAGCAGACTGTCATTCCTAATATTAGCAGGCATCATACAAGGAGCTAAGGGTTAGACAAATACTATAAAAGGTTCACCATTCCCCAAATAAGATCAAATTCTCTCCACCTGAGTTTGAACTGAAACCGTCTTCCTGAATCTTGAGTCTGTTGGCTTTTGGCTGGAGTATATCATTTGGCCCTACAGGTCCAGAGCTTGCTGACTGCCCCTGCTGACCTTGGTTTTGTCAACCTCCATAAGTCTGTGAGTTAACTCCAGGGCTGGAGATTTAGGTTGATTGGTTGAGTGCTTGCCTATCATGCGTGAAGCCCTGAGTTTGATCACTAGTACTGTATACAACTGGACTTGTAGAACATACCTGTAACTTGTAGAACAGCACTGGGAAAAATGGAGACACAAGGATTAGAATTTCAAGGTCACCTACTCCTCACATAGAGAAGTCACAGTCAGTCTTGGGTACATATATGGTCATTATAAAATTATATATATATATTATATCTGCAAAGAATTTATCCCAAGACTGCACGGTTGATTTGGCACTCAAAAATAAATTAAAAGAATTTACCTTATTAAAAACAAATAAGCAAACAAAGGAAGCCAAATGTTATAGGTACAAACCTGTAATCCCAGCACACTGAAGACTGAGGCAGGAGGATCCTCGGTTGGAATCCATACTGAGCTATTTCAGGCCATCCAGAGTCATACAGTGACTCATCCACTCAAACAAACAAACCAGCAACAACAAAACCCCAAGCAAAGAATATGGTCAGATAATTTCAATAGCTATATCCAAAACATTTGACAAAGGCCATTACTTCTCAAATAAAAACTCTTCCAAAAAGAAACAAAAAGGAACCTATAGCATCTCCAGCTGGGTAAGGCAGCAGTGTAAAGCCATAGTTAATATCAGCCTTCATGGTGAAATACTGAAGACTGGGAACAAGATTAGGATGCCTGATCTTATATTAAACAATGTAAAGTGTTCCTGTAAGCAAATGAGATCTGATTGTACATAAAGCCCCGAGACTATTATGGCAACTACAAAAATGATAATGAATTTTATGAGGCTCCTAAATATGAAGTTAATGTAAAAAATAATAGACTAGCAGCTAGCCATTAGAAAACTGCACTGAAAATTTTTATGCAAGGCAGGAGATAGGATTGAATTTATTAAAATTAGTGTGGAAACTTCCAAGAAAAACTAATAATAGAACAGCCATATGATTCATCTCTCCCACTCCTGGATGCACTCCTAAAGAAATGTGTGAGAATACCAGAGTCACCTGCACACACATCTTCATTTGTGACTGTGTTCATGAGAGTCAAGCTGTGAATCATCCCAGACACCCATCTTGGATTCTTGGGTGACTGAGTAAAGAAAATATGCTCCACATACACAATGGACATTTTGTGACATTTGTTAACTGATGAGAGGGATGGCAGGTACATACATTCCACAGTGTTCTCTTCTTCACAAGGTCGGATCCAACTCAGGTGATGGAACTTGGTAGAAAGTGTCTTTACCCACTAAGCCAGCGGTTCTCAAAATGGGAGTTGCAACCCCTTGGGAAGTGGGATAACCCTCTCCCAGGGGTCAAATATCATATATCCTATATATCAGATATTTACACATTTTGTTTCATAACAGTCGCAAAATTATAGTTGTGAAGTAGCAATGAAATAATTTTATGGTTGGGGGTCACCACAACATGAGGAGCTGGAGAAAAGGGTCGCAGCATCAGGAAGGTTGAGAACCACTGCACTAAGCCATCTTGCAGCCCCTGCACTGGGGTCTTATTCATCTACAAAGAAGAATGAAATTATGGAATTTATAGAAAAATAGTCGAAATGAAGGTCATCATGTTAAATTAAATAAACCAAATGCAGAAAAATGGATATCGAATTTCTCTCTTCTCTGCATCATCACTAAGTAAGCACAAGTACGACATAAAGGTGGAAGGAGGTCTCCTTAAGAAGAGGAGGGAGGAGGAGCAAGAAAGGATGGGGGCTGAGAAACAATCTCAAGGTTGTGATATTTATGTATAGACAGCCATACTGAAAGCTACTACTTTGTATGCTAATTAAAAACCTGTAAGAATGAAGATCAGAGGTCAGTATTGGGTGTCTTCCTCTACTGTTCTCCAGCTTATTTTTTGAATCAGTGTCTCTTCCTTGAACCTAGAGGTCACAGATTGGTAGTATTGACTGGACAACAAGCTTTGCAGAGCCTCTTGTTCTGATCCCCTTTCCCTCAGTGATAGGTTACAAACATGTCCTGTCATCTACAGCACTCAGTCCTCATGCTTGCTTGGCAAGCACTGCTCTGACTAAGGTCTTTCCTCAGACCCCTCACCACTTGATTTTTAGTAAAGGTTAGGTCGAACTGAAGGGGAAAAGAAATTAATTTCAGGAAACGGTGTTAAAACAAGTGGGTGTCTATGGAAAATGATTTTGACTCTTACCTCAAGCATACTCAAAAATCAACTCAAATTTTGTCATAAAACCTAGGCAGGCTGAAATAGCTCAACTGGGGCAGTGACAGATTGAAGAATAAAACATAAAATGTGAGAAACGAGTGGAAAACGAGTGGAAACGGCCACTCGGTTCAGCATGCAGCTCAGCGGCAGGCATCCTGGGCTTGTTCCTCGTACTGTGATAACAATGGTAGTGGCAAGCATCTTATAGGAAGGCACAGCCATGTCATCCAGACATGTGGGGTTCTTAGAACACTAAAGATGAGAAGCATTTATTAAAGTAATAAATCAATGTAATGAAGATTAAACTTTTTGGAAGGTACCGAATTGATGTAAGTCAAGAAACTCCGACACTGGAGAATGTTGGAACTGTGCATGCTCTATCATGGTTTGTATCCAGAAGCACATGGCACCTTGACAAGTCAGTAACAAGAGTTTTTAAAGAAACATCCCCCTTTAAAAATTAAAAATGAATTGAAACCCATTTTCATGAAAAATGATATGCAAATGGGAAAAGTACATGAGGTATTCAACAATAGTATTTGGTCCAGGAAATGCAAAGTAAAAGCACAGTGAGCCACCCCTTCACCCCTACTAGATGGCTAGAATTAAAGGCTAAGAGAAGGCAGGAAAGGAAAAACAGAACCTTAGCACGCTTGCCAAAAATGCGAACTTAAACAGTCATTTTGCAAAAGGTTTGGCAGTGTTTTATACAGTTAAATACTCAGGTGCCTAAAAAAACAGTCATTCAGTTTTGGATATTTGCCCTAAGGCAATGAGACCATGACCATGTAAAGACTTGACACAGATAACCAGGGATGATTTATTTGTCGTCATCCTAAACTAGTGTAGAACACACCAACTGTATATCCTCTGTTGAGTGAATAACTAACTGCAATAGTTGGGAGACCGCCCAACTGGAAGCAGCAAGAAATTATTGGTGATCCTCTCCAACATGAGTAGCAAGTTCTTATGCCTAGGAAAGGAACTCAGACAAAAGAGAACATTTTGTTTTATATACCTGTAAGTATATATATCTGTATATGCATAATGTATATAAAGTATAGTGTACATGTATACATATATAACATGCTTATATGTTTATCATTTCAATACACATTCATATATATTAACATTATAAACATACACATGTATACACGTTATATACATACATATGTAGAAGTAGAAAGTGGGACTCTCTGAAATAAATGAAAAGTATTTGCAATCCTGAATGCAATGGTGTTTTCAAAAACTTATTCAACTGCTAAAACCAGTTGAATCATGCCATTTCCATAGGACCTGTTTATTCTACATAAATTATGTCTAGGTTTCTTTTGTTAGTTCAGTATAGCATCTAGCAGCTTCCAGGAGTTCAGGGGAGGGAGGAAACAACAGGAAAATTAGGGATGCAGAAATCATTCTATATGATGTTAAAATATTAGACACAGGGCAGAGACTTTTATCAAACTCTATGAAACTCTGCAATACGATGAGTGAGCCCTAAGTCAACTATGGACTTCATTTAATAGAAGTATTGACATTGGTCTGTTGGCTGTAACTCTTGAACCCCACGTAAGCACAAAATGCTTGTGATTCAGGAAACTACAAGAGAGGGGATGTACCCTGCTCTGTTCTTCTATAAGCTTTAAAAATAAGGCCTGTTTGTAAAATGCAGAATACACAAAGTATCCAGTAGGTTATCAGTCTAGTTTCTAGGATGATTTCAAGTTAGTTTTATCTTAAGAATGAATTCAGCTGAGAAGATAACACTTTTATTCATATTTTAGCTTCACTATAGTTTTCCCTGTAAGTTAATTTTCCAAATGACAGATGTATCATATTGTTTTCTAAAGACTTACTTGATTTGTAAATTCTGTACATGTATGTGTGTGGGGGGGTATGCACACGTGGATTCAAGTGCTCAGAGAGGTGATCTTCCTGATGTGGGTGCTCAGAATCAAACTCGAGACCTCTGCAAGAGGATTAAATGTTCTTGATTACTGAGAAAATTCCTATCTCCCTGTATCATATTCTTAATAGATTATTCTTTAGTCCTTAACCATCATTTATATCCCACTTCATAAAAATTCCATTGAAAAGACTGACATTAGATTTGAAATGTCTGAAACAATTAACTGATTTTGACTAAATGTGGCAAAACATAACTTGGATTTTCTTTATTTTGTTTTAATGCCTTATCTTCATGGGCATCTCTAAAAGGGAGTTTCGCACCTTGGTAATTGAGATGGTAATGGCCACGGATATGTCCTGTCATTTCCAGCAAATCAAAGCCATGAAGACAGCCTTGCAGCAGCCAGAAGCGTGAGTAACTCGTGACGTTACGTTCTCATAGGACTTGGACTGAAATTTGTACATTTTAAACACTGAAAACGCATCACCTTCAGGATAATGGTTGGGTTATCTCAAAAAGTAGTGATGTCTGGAGCAGGGAGCCTGAACATCATACATCATCTCACAAATAGCTAGAGGTGATTTACCAGAATCTGAGTTTGAGTGAATACAAGACACGGTACCAGTTTGTTCCAATTAGCATCATGACCCTGTTAGTAATTAAATGATCAAAGGTCCGTTAAATGTAGCGATAGCTAAAGGAAGAAAGTATTGTTTAGATTTTTGTCATCTGGTTGAAAAATGTAACCATTCCATAAATCAGTTAAGTGAGAAGTACCCCATTCATTAAATGCGGAACTGATCGTTTACCAACATAGTGGCGGTACTTAGACACGATTTTAAAGATTTTCAAAACTTCCAGTGTTTGAGGTATGTGGTCACCATGTGCTCTCATGTGCTGGGTTTGCAGAATTGAAAAGCCGAAAGCCTTATCCCTGATGCTGCACACAGCGGACATCAGCCACCCTGCAAAAGCCTGGGACCTGCACCACCGCTGGACCATGTCTCTCCTGGAGGAGTTCTTCAGACAGGTACCTTGTCTCTTGCTGCTCACCAGGGCTGACACTGGGTATCTTTGGAAATTGAATATTCCAGCATCTCTCTGGCAAGAACTGTGGAGGATGTAATTATTTTCTTTGGAGAAAGAGGCTTTTCACGCTTGTTTTATTTCTCTAGCCGTAATTCTTGAATTTTATCAAAATTCAGAGTCTCAAGACATTGTGAAGTGCATTCTGTCTTAGGCATTTCTGCTTTGAGGAAAAGTGTTTTCTCATGGAAGTCTCTTGTCTAAGCATTATTTGAAAAGGACTTTCCCTTTTTGTTTTCTATTGAGTTACCAAAAAAGTTATTAAGGCTATTTTTGTATCACCCTGGGGGACTAAGCTGTTAATCTTTGACTCATGTCTCTTATTATTGGGTAGGTTGTTTCCTTTGATGGATGAGCCATGACACAATGTTGCAAAATTATATTGCAAACTGGAATCAAGAAATCACTAGGAATTATTGTTCAAGTGCATTTAAATTTAACCACACCTTCAATCCAGAGTCATGTTATTTATAAGAACAGATGGTCTTTAATGGGTATGCATTGCTTTAAGACAAATACAAATATGTTATTATAACAGAATCAAAGAAACAAAACAAGTATGTGTCACCAAGACAGAGGTCTTTGGGGTTAGAGTTAGTTCTCCACCCTGACACAGATGCTGGTCTTGCTTTGAGAAGAACTGCCACAGGCACCGGCTTTGAGACATGAGACGCTGAGCTCAGTCAATGAAATGTAGATTACAGACCTCAGTTACTGTCAGTTCATTCAGCTAATTCCAGTTCATTCAAAGAGGGAGGCACACAACGTGGGTTCTGAGAACTCTAAGTCCCTAACAGCACTTAATATCACATCTCACCATTGTTCCCTCAAATGACTAGGGTTAGGTTCCTTCTCTGAGCCTTAGTTCAGTTTCTGTTGCTATAATACCTGAAACAAGGTAATTTACAAAGAATAGAGATTTATTTAGATCATGGCCTTGGAACCTAGAACTCCATTAGCCTAGCACTGGCATCTGGTGAGCCTACGTGTTGGGAGCATCACAGTGCTAGCTCTGGTCTCTCTGCTTTAAAGCCGCCTTCATGGGGTATTAGTGACCCACCCTCACGGTCTGATCTAATCCATGCTGCCTTCGAAAGGCTTCATTGCTGAATACTATCCACACATGACGTTGAGGATTAAGTCTCCACCATCTTAGCTTTGGGGGACACACTGACACCCTGGCTACCCTGGGCTTGGACATGAAATCCTCCTGATGCTCTTAGTGTTGTGATTCTTGTTTGAATGGGGATATAATTGCACAAATATTTACGTGTGTGTGTGTGTGTGTGTGTGTGTGTGTGTTTTCTTTCTGAAGCTGTACATGTTGTCTGGCTAGAGTTAATAGTTGCAAAAGCCCCAAACTGTCCATCAACTACTTTGAACTACTTTGAACTACTTTATTTCAACTACTTTGCAGCCTGGGACCAATTAGGTTGCAGTTCTGATTCCCTTGTCTTTTGTGTTTTCTGTGATTTTTTTTTCTTTTTGAGGGAACAGAAAAGATTCAGAGTAAGATTGAATGAATATTCTTATGAATCCTTCAGCATCAAATACCCTGAGTTCTCTTCTGTGTGTTCATGGGTGCCAATCCCTATACGCACAACCACCGTGACCCCAGGTCATGTGCCCTGTCCTTATATGGGCAGGTTCCTTTGCACACCTGTTATGTGGTCTCAGGAGTTCTCCCCAGGCTCCATGATGAGAAGAGTGAAGAGTGGGCTTGGGAGGAGCTTGAGTGACACAGGTGTGACCCTGGTGTGTACACAAGGACAACCAACTACAAACTCATCCTTCATTGGGGGCTTACTTTAAGTAATTTTTGACTCTTTTTCTAAATATCCCCCCTACTTTTTTATATGTTCCCTTAGATATAGCTTTGTAAAAATATCTCCATCATGCTAGCAATATTCAGTCTGTGGCCAGTGGACAGACCATGGCTAACTCACTTATGTTTGATGTATTGAAGTGATTCCTTTTTTGAATTATGAGAGTGTGTGAAGTTACCTAATTATGTGAACGTTCTTTCCTCACCATAAAGGAAACCTTGCTTGCATATGTACACACATAAGCTCAAATGAAATGAGAATGTGCTAAGGGCAGTGTGGAAATAACCATACCAAATTTCTTGGCCAACTGGGACTGGGCTCATTGCACTTGAACTGGCTTTAGTGAATGCAGTTCAGTGAAGTATTTTTATTGTCTTAAGCCAGATGCCAAAGCACAGCAGGTAACCCATGAGAGGAATAATGATTCTCCGGCTCTTAATAATGGCTTTAAAATTGAGCACTTCACATGGGAAACCCCAATGGGACCAGAGAGCCTTTTCAGAATTACATTCAGAAGGTTGGGCTATAATTTCAAACTAATACAATAGCTGGCCCTTGTGGACATGGTCCAGGTGTCCTTGCTCTCCCGAAGGATGGAGTCCCATCATCAGGTTCATAACCATGTTCCACAGAATCCGCGCCACAGTCCTGGGCTACTTTTAAATGAAGCACTGACTTTGACAAAGGACGTCCGTCTTGGTAAACCTGTCTCATTCTGAAACAGCTTCAAGGTTCCTTTCCGTGGTATCACTGTGAACTTTTACATTTTGGAAACATCTCTCACAGTTCTTTTCATTTCTTCTGTGACTGTGGATGTTCCCTCACTTGTTTGTTTTATTTCATATGCATTGCTGAATTTTTCAATCTCTCTCCTACAGGACTATGCTATTATCTTAGCGTTGCTTCTTCAGCGATACTGTTTGCATCTTTACTTATCTCCTTGACTTTTGTTTTTCTAACTCTCTGACTTCGATGCTCACTTCATTTGCTTTCTTTCCCACTTGTTTAGAAATCAGAAGCCGAGACTTATTTGCTTATTGCTGCTCCGACACACTGTGCTCCAAAGCAGTCTTTAGTGTCGGTCTTTAAAACTGATTTTTCTTTTTCTTTTAACCAAGAGTTACCTCAAATAGAGTATTTTTTAACTTTTCAATGTTTTAGTGATATATTTTTTTTACTTAATAGATTCCAAATTACTTTTTTATTGATCAAATAATTTGTTATTTTTTAGAGCTTAAATTAGATGTATGCATTCAGCTCCTTTGCGAACGTCTGTGAATTATGGAAGACTTCTCTGTCTGATTTTCAGCTTGCAGTCAAAAAAATCAAATGTGTCTATATGATAGTTACTCTTCTGCTACTGTGACAAAATATCCAAGAATATGAACTTAAAGAGAAAAAGTATCTAGTCTGAGGATCGTGGTACACACCTTTAATTCCAGCACACGGAAGGGAGGGGAAGGAGGATCTCTGAGATCCACCCTGGTCTACGTAGCAAGTGCCAGGACAGCCAGAGCTACAAAGAGAAACTGTCTCAAACAAATAGACAGACAGACAGATAAATGTTGAAGAGGTTTCTGTCCCCCAGGTCCCTTAGCTGTTCAGTGCCAACCCCCCACCCCCCACAGAGGCCCATGTTAATTATAAACTGGTTGGCCTATTAGCTCAGGCTTCTTCTTAATTAATTCTTACATCTTACATTAACCCATAGTTCTTATTTGTGTTAGCCATGTGGTTTGGTACCTTTGATTAGTGAGGCATTCTCATCTTGCATCCTCTATATCTGGGTGACAACTGCAGACTGAGCCTCTCCTCTTCCCAGAATTCTGGTCACCCTACCTATACTTCCTGCCTGGCTACTGGCCAATCAGCATTTTACTAAACCAATACAAGTGACAAATATTTATAGGGTATAAGACCATTGTTCCACAGCAGATAAATAAACAAAAGAGGGGAAAGAGAGGGAAAGTATATGTGGGCTCATGGTTGTGGAGGTTTCAGCACATGATTAGCCAATTCCATTGTATTTAGGCCTGTGGTAGACTATCAGGGGAAAAGAATTCTGTTCCCTTACTGGCAAACAGGAAACCAAGAGAGCCAGAGAAGAAAGTTCTGAGGGCATGAGATATACCCTTTAAAGCTGAGCTGCTAGTGACCCACTTCCTCCAAGCCCACTTGGCTATGAGCTCATGAGACTGAGTCTATTGTACCAGCTGGGGACCAAGTCGTCAGCACATTTTGCATTCAATCACAGCAATTTGCTTTCTTTATTATATCAGTTAAATAACGTAGACTCTATGTACGCTTTTTAAATGTGAGATCTGCCATGGGCTAAACAGAGTTTCTATTATTTTTTTTTTCTTTCTCTACGTTGAAATTTTTGCTCCATAAATGCTGTGCCATTTGGTTCTTGGATCTTTGTAGGCATTAGCTCCCAAAGTATGTAATAGCTATGATCAATATAAAACCTCTTAAAAATCTAGCTCATGCTTTTGCTAGAATTCTCATCTGACTCTTTGGTGATATTATTTAGAAATAAGCATTCAGTTCAGATGTTGGGGCAGTCTTGGCTAGAGACTATTAAGGTTTCTGAGTCCTACTAATTAGCTGGTGATGTTCATTACAGTTAGATGGTGCGAGCTGGAACAAATTCACTTCATGTTTCTCAAAGCTTGACTTGAAATATGGCAGCAGTAATTCTTTTAGTAGTTCTTGTTATTTGCTGTATGTCTTTTTGTCATTTTGCCTCATGATAAGCCCTTTAGGTTTGGACTGTTATCCCACATTGAACAGGTGGAAAACTGTGAAACAGCAAAAGACTGTGATTTTTCTAGGACCACACGCCCCACAGCCAAAAGGCAGGATTCAAGCATGAATAGTAGCCATTAACCTGAGTGAGTTTCTTCCTACAAGAAAAGGAAGAGCACAGTCTGCTGATAGACATGAGGAGATATGTGCTTCTCCTTCCTCTGGACTTGACAGAAAGATTGAGCCTGTGTTGCATGTTTTTGAAGCCATCTCTATCAACAGTTAGAGTCCCATAGCACTTTTGTTAGAGTGGTGCTTTTGGACACCGTGAGGAACATTGTGTCTGAACAGCTATGCGGTATTATTGTTGAATAACTGGTTCTTTCTAGTCCGCTGTTCACAGTGTATCAAGTGTTAGGGTGGGAAACACAGAAGCACATACTCTCTTTATGTGTGGCTTTAGTTAATGTTAGGAGACAAAGCCATGTTAGTCAGTTTGAATTTCCCTATTGGACACAGCTTACCACTGGGAGTTCTTGGGCTAGAAGAAGGCCACAGGTAGCCACAGGAGAACTGTGGGGAACACGACCATTCTGACTGTGATTTTGGCCCCAGGCCACAGAACACATGGACTGCTGCCTGGTTTCCCATGGGGAACCTATTGCTGCCCAGTGAAGCTTTCTTTGGGACAGCGTGAGACTGCATTCAGAAGGAATGATTACGGAAGCCACCACATCTTGGTGTCTTTTGTTTAGAGGAGCAAGCCCCACCAGGACTTATTATACAATGTAATTGTAATAATTAAAATAAAAATAAGTGGCCTAAGTGGCAGTTGAGGCTGCTAAATAAAATCTGGGCCGCTCAGCCCACTGTTCTTTTGTTTACTGTGACCTTGTGTTTTTCTAGGGTGACAGAGAAGCCGAGCTGGGGCTGCCGTTTTCTCCTCTCTGTGACAGAAAGTCAACTATGGTTGCTCAGTCACAAGTGGGTAGGTATTTGCCAGCTGCTTCGAAGGAGCATCAGATGGTCTATCTGTGGTGGGCAGGGCCACTGTGCTTGGTGATCCCAGCTGGAAGTCTGGCTCACTTCTTCCAGCCTTTGAAAGGCTGAAGTTATACCATCTCTCTGGACCATGGCTTCTTCTGGGGGTTGATTAGATGGAGGAACTTTGGAGTTTCCATCATTCTTGCTCTAAGGAAAGAGGTCTTCAAGTACCCAAGGAAATATCTGTGCATACTGTAGTTAGGAAGCCCATTTTGCTTCAGTGCCTTTATCATGCTTCAATACTAGAAGTCATCTTACCATTTCCCCTTCCTCCTCCTCCTCCTCTTCTTCTTCTTCTTCTTCTTCTTCTTCTTCTTCTTCTTCTTCTTCTTCTTCTTCTTCTTCTTCTTCTTCTTCTTCTGCTCCTTCTTCTTCTGCTCCTTCTTCTGCTCCTTCTGCTCCTTCTCCTCCTCCTCCTCTCCCTCCTCCTCCTCCTCCTCCTTCTTCTTCTTTTTAATACAGAATTTCTCAGTGTAGCCCTAGCTATTCTGGGATTCACCCTGTAGACCAGGCTGGCCTCAAATTCAGAATCCACCTGCCTCTGTCTCCTGAGTACTGGGTTTAAAGGAGTGCACCACTTGACCATCTCCCCTTCTTGATGCTTCTTTTGTCTAAGTTTAGGAGTTTCCTCCTTCCTGGGAGGCCTCTTAAATTGTTTTGGTTTCCACACTCTTTTTCTTTGGTTAAAAAAAAGAGAATTACCATAATACCATATTACACGCATTACAAAAACCCTCAGCTGTGGGAAAGAGAAACAGTGTCACCCATCACATAAAATGAATGTCATGAGTGAACTCTACTTTAGAAGAGTCTCTGGTCACTCAAAAATCTATTTAATAAAGAATTTCTGCCTTTTCTACCTGCCTACTTTGGGAGCAGAGATAGAGTCCCTTGTAATTCAGGCTGGGCATAAAACTGGCCATTAAGCTAAAGCTAAGCATGAGCCAGGCTGGCCATGAACTGACTCTATAGCTAAGGCCCTTGGCCTCCTGACCTGCCTGCCTTTGACGCCCAGGAGCTAAGACTGAGAATGTGTGCCACCGTGACTGGTATCTGCTTGAACTCTATGTGCACCTTCATTGTTTTATTTGTTTTATCATGGTATGTCTTGAGTTCCTGTCGGGTACTGGGTACTCTGGGAATTATAATAGATGCTGTAAAGTAAAAAACTAGCTGTATATGGCACCTACTTTTAAGGATATTATTAAACTAGTATTAGACAGTGGGTAAGATGTTAGGAAACAGCATATGCTAGAGCACTATGAATGCTGAAGGTGGAATTCTTAACATTTTACAATGGAATCCATAGATAGCATGAGTGATGTGGGGTTTCCCCTTGTATGCTGTAAATACCACTGGTGAATAAAGAAACTGCCTTGGCCGGTTGATAGGGCAGAACTTAGGTAGGTGGGGGAAATTAAACTGAATGCTGGGAGGAAGGAGGTGGAGTCAGAGAGAAGCCATGTAGTCCTGCCAGAGACAGACACTGGGAACTTTACCCAGTAAGCCACAGTCACGTGGTGATACACAGATTACTAGAAATAAGTTAAATTAAGATATAAGTATTAGCCAATAAGGAGCTATAGCTTCTTATTGGACAAGCAATGTTTTAAATAATATAGTTTCTGTGTGAGTATTTTGGGTCTGAGCTGCTGGGCAGATGGGAAACAAACAAGTGGCCCTCTTACAACATATGAGAACTGTTACATTCAGCCACAAAGACTTATTAAGGAGTGATATTTGAACTATATCTGAGGAAGCATTAAAGTAGTGTCTAGGCAGGTAGCGGTAGATAGGGTACATGTTAGCAATTGCTTAGTGCTGGGTAAAATGACACCACAGACAGGAGATGAGATTAGAAACTGCTTCATATGGTCAGTGAATTCTCAGTAGCCCCAACTTGGCAGGAGCAGTGGGTACGGAATAGGATACAGTGAGAGACAATGTAGAGAGAAATCAGGCCAGGATTTTACACTGTGCCAAGAACGACACCCATGCTTACAGTCTCCTCTAAGAAATAGGGCCCTAGCTAAAGAATTCTGGGTACCATCAAATACTGCAGTTTGAGCCCCAAATTAAATTGTTGTGAACCGCAAAACAAAATGTTTAAAAATGTTTCCTTATCAGATAGACAGTTCTTATTTTGTGGGTTCCACTACAGTTTGTTTAGCATCCTTCTCTGATGAGTATCAGCACCCATATCACTATCCCCTTAGTAACTGTGGAAACTAAATATTCATCCCTGCATTTCCAGATACCCACTCAAAGAAGCAGGCAGTAGCTCCCTTAGTGGGAGTTTGTCTCCTTCCTTATGTGTGACTATGGATGACCCACTCCATCCCTATTAGTGCCAGCGTGTGTACTGTGTTCACTCAATGTGTCACACATACTCATCCAGTTTCCTTTCTTTCTCTCTTGTTGTTGTTAACGGTTTTGTTTTGTTTTATTTGTTTGTTTGGTGGTTTGTTTGTTTTCAACAATCACTCTAAGCCAGCTTTTGCTTTCTTTCCAGTATGCCCATCTGAAAAGATTTCATTGCAGTAATGATCCTAATGCAGTCCATAGTCCTTTCTTGTAACTTCCCATTCGATTCTGACTCCTGTATCTCAGGTCAGCAGCTTGCAGCTCATCCTGTCCCCTCTCATTTCTTTGACTTTCTTGCTAGAGCCTCTAGAGCAATGCCGCCTCCTGCGCTGTACTATGTATGCTTTTGGTGCCCAGTGTAAAACAGCTTTGGTTCTCAGGTTCTTATCTTCTGTTTGAGCAGCTGCAGTAGCTCCTAACAAGATTTTCCCACTCTGTCTTTCCTCCTCACTGCCTTTCCACGCCCCCTGCTGCATGGACTGGATCAAAGCTCATTTAAATATATCATCACAAAGCTTTGCGGATATCATCAGGACAGGAGCTTCCTTCCCTGACATACCTGAGGATAGCTGGCCTCCCCGGAACGTTTTTTCAAGGTTCAGAGCATTCCCCTCACCCCAGTGATTGAACAGACATCACCTGCATACTTTTCCACCTCTGAATGTCCCTCTGTCCAGAGTGAATAGCCACATTGTTCTTAACACCCATCCTTGAGAGCTTGGCTCAAACACAAAACCTCCACATAACTGTTCACCGGTCTCTATAAGAGCAAAACATCTCCTCTCTTCTATTTCTTTCCTAAGAACCTTCATCTGGGCTTTTCCTTTGGCCCTGCAGAAACTCTAGGGCTCATTTTTGTCCCCGTTAAATTTTACCTATAAATTCTTTGAAGACTATTGGTTTGCGTGATTCGTCTTCAACCTTTAATAAAACACATCACACTGTTTATTATATAGCAGGTGTTAAATTGTATTTTTAAGCTTTCAATTGAATCACTGATTAAAAAGTCCTAAGGGAATTATGTAGGGGAAATGAGATTGTCTCGTGACATTCAATAAGAATGAGACCAACTAGTTCTTGACTGATTTGGAGCTCCCATGTAGAGCAGGTGTTTTGTTTGGTGGATTGGGGGAGAAAAGAGTAATTGGTTTCTAGTGAGAAACCAGGACTGATCCCTGTTAGCATGCTGTTTTCTGAGCCACTGCTGCTTCTCTGTAGGTTTTATTGACTTCATTGTGGAGCCCACCTTTACTGTGCTCACGGATATGACTGAGAAGATTGTGAGTCCCTTAATCGATGAAAGCTCCCAGACTGGTGGGACCGGCCAGAGGCGCTCAAGGTCAGTGGGGAAGTTTGAGAGCTGGGCTGTGATAGCATCTTCTTGTTGGGGGATGTGTGGTATCACAATGAGCTGTACCTCTCTTGCTTCTTACAGGAGACATGTCTGCCCCCTTCTTTCTTTCAGAGGATTTAGAATGATACCCTCTATGCTTGCTAGGCTGGCCCATAACAGGTGGCCGAAGGCCAGAGTGGGATGCCCCACTCTCTGAAGCCTTTGTTTCCAGAAGCACTGGTCAGTACACTTCTATGGTGCACAGAAAACCCTGGTTCCTGATTCTGCAGATGGTCAGGCTTTTGATCAGAGTTCTTACTGGAAGTGAGGCTGACTTTCATTTCTATTCAGGAAGAAAGAGGAGTACAGATTTTGAAAACAATATAGCAAAACACCTCAAACTTAAGTGTTTTCTAGTGCTGGGGATCACAGCATAAAGCGTAAGGATATCAAATGTAGAAGGGTAAGAGGTCAGACTCTCCGGCCGGAGTTCAGGCTTACTGCCCTGACTCCACAGCTTATTGATCTGTGTAGTCTCACAGAAATCAGCTCAGTACCCTGGTTTCCTTCCCCGAGGCTGTGATAGAGACACAGACAGAGGCAACTGGAAGGGAGAGTTTAGTCAGCTTATAATTCCTAGTTATAGTCTTTCATTGTGGGGAAGTCAGGGCAGAAACTTGAAGCAGCTAGTCACACCCCTACTCAAGAGCAAAGAGAATCAATTTACATATATTTACACCCACTTTGTTTTTTCCTCTTTTATACAGTCTAGGACCCAAACCCATGGAAATGCCACGGTGGGCTGATCTTCCCGCTTCAATTAATGTAATCAAGATAATGATCCACCAATATGCAAACTAATAAACTTGATCTAGATAATCCCTCATTGAGCGATTTTCCCATCACACTTGGGTTACTTATTTGAGAAAATAAGATTATGGCGCTCACAGGTTAATTGAATTGTTCAGTATTTATAAGATCATTGGAAGACCTGTCATGGTAGAAGTGTTGGCTACTGTAAAGCTGGCGCTTAGACTTCATTGACATTGCTGATTCTGCTAGCATAGCTGCTGTCACCTCTGTTCTTGCTACCACCATTATCTTAGCACTGCCATCACCACTACCACTGCTATGGCCACAACTGTCCCGACCACCAACTCTACCACCATCACCACCACCAACAAAACCAAAACACCACCACTACCACCATCACCACCACCAAGAACAAAAACAAAACACCACCACCACCACCATCACTACCACCATCATCACTACTACCACAACCACCACCAAAATACTGCCACCACCACCATCACCACCACTACCAACAACAAAACACTACTACCACCACCACTACCACCACCATCACTACCACCACTACCACCACCATCACTACCACAACCACCACCAAAATACTGCCACCACCACCATCACCACCACAACCACCACCAAAACACTACCACCACCACCACTACCACCACCATCACTACCACCACTACCACCACCATCACTACCA